GGGGCAGGAGAGGGGTTGTGTGTGCAGCGGGGCGGAGGGCGGCGAGGACCTGTACTGGAACGAGGGCCTGCTCCTCCGGTCATAGGCCCCGTCCTCGGACCCAGCCTCGCTCAGCCTCGCCAGCGTCGCCAGCGAGGCGGTGGTCGGCTGGAGGACCCCCGGGGTGCGCGGGCGGGGGACGTTCGCCGGCGAGTACCGGCGAGGAGACTGTTGCGGCGACGGCGCCGGCGCCGGTGGCGGAGGCGGCGAGTCGCTCGGCGAGGAGGGCGGCGCGGCTCCGAAGGCGTGCTTGCTCCTCCGACGAACCGTGCCGGAGCCGTCGGACGACTCGGCCAGCTGCCCGCGAGGGGTGCCGGAGCCGTCGGAGGGGCTGCCGGGGGTGGGCGGCGGCGGGTACCTGCCTGGAGTGCCGGGCGGCGGCGGCCGAAAGATGCCCCGACGAGCGGCCGGCGACCCGACGGCGACCTGCAGATCGCCCGCCGCGGAAGTCCCCTCGAGCGCGCCGCCGCCCGAGTCCGACGACCAGCTGTCGTCCAGCCGGAGATCTTGGAGGGGCTGCAGCGGGCGCGGCGGCGAGGGCGAGGCCGAGGTGGATGGCGGTGCCGTCCACTCCCTCCCCCCAACCGGTTGCCCCTCGCTCGCCCCCTCCCTCTGCCGCTTATCCGTCGCCCGCGCTGGGGTCACGGCGCCGCTGGAAGGAGGAAACGAACGAGAGCGGCGCCGGCCGGCGATAAAGGCAGCGGCGATGTCCACCGCTGTCCTCTCGCGCCGCCGCGACCGCTGGTCGCGGAGCCGGCTGCCCCGCTGGTAGAGGACGAGGCAGAGTGCGCAGCAGAGCAGGGAGAGCGCAGCGGCAGCGACGCCGCCGATGATGGGCCAGGGGAGGTTGTCCGCCCCGCCGCCGACCTGCGTGGCCGGCTGGATCGGCTTGATCCACCACGGGGGCGAGGTGGGCGGCAGCGGCGACTGCGGCGGAGGCCGCGGTGGAGGAGGTGGGGACGGCGGCAGCGGCGACGGCGGCGGCTGCTGCGAGGGCGGCGGCGGTGCCTGTGAGGGCGGGGGTGGCGACGGAGGAGGTGG